GTTCAGTGATGCCCATTGCAAAGTGTCTCCTGGGCAAAACTTCTTTGTCGCTGCATGCCAGAGCTGTAGTCTCTGGGCTTTTGAGTCTTACTCTGCTCTACCATTCTACCTCTGTTGTTGGTAGCTCCCTTCAAAGTTCTGTCTTCTCTTTCTGAATCACAGTAAGGGCTTAACAGTGGTGCGTCTTTAGGGCTGGGCAGAGAACCTCCAGCTACATAACTAATAGTTACTATAAAACCTGGTGCATTGCATCCCTTAATCTCAGCTCCTCGTTTTGTTGTGTAATTCCATTCCATTTCATAAGCTTCCCAGACCACATGGAAGCTGTCCTTACAGCAACCTAAAAGGGTGAATAACCTAACAGGTCCCACCAGAGAAGTGAGAAAGGAGTGTGCATTACTGCCTGCTGCTTAGGATCTGCACAAAGCCTGATTCCATTTTCATTTAAAAAAAGGCAAAAAAAAACCCTAAAAAAATTGTTTTTTGAAATTGTAGTTGTACTTGTGATATGCCTGAAATAAGATGTTTCCTATCAGCTGCTGGGGGTTCCCGTTCCCGTACTGTCACGGGAAGGAGGGAGGGCGAAGAATTAGGCAAGTCTGAAAGTCATCTTGTGTGGGAACTGCCTGGTGCCTTGCTTTGGCCTGACCACTTTGTGCCACTCTTCAGAGCTGCTCCTATGGGGGGGGACTTTGTTAGCTCTGCAAGTCACGGAGACTATGTAGGGGTGGTGTGGGTGCTTCTGGCAGGGACCTGCTATGCAAGTGTTGCCTTGATGTTTACAGCAGTCTCACCCCTCTTAGCGATGGTGCATAGGAGACTACTCACAGAATCACAGAGTTGGAAGTTGGCAGGGACCTCTAGAGATCATCTAGTCCAACCCCCTGCTCCAGCAGGGACACCTAGAGCATGTGGCACAGGGTGGCATCCAGGCAGGTTTGGAAGATCTCCAGAGAAGGAGACTCCACAACCTCTCTGGGCAGCCTGTTCCAGGGTTCTGCCACCCTCACAGGAAAGTTCTTCCTCATATGGAGATGGAACTTCAGGAGCTTTACCCACATCATAGCTAAAGTGATGGTCATCCTGTATATTAAACAAAGTTGGAGTGGGCAATATCTCCAAGGCACAGCTTTGCCATACTTTGTTTTGAAGCAGAGAACTTCTATTTGGACTCAAGACTTAATCCTTGCTGTGATATGTTTCAACCTATTAACAGATTTTTTTTTTCTCTCCCTACAAATGACTGCTGCTTAAGGCATTGATTAGGCTTTATTGTAGTCTGTGGAACATCTGAATGGCTGTTCTCAGGACCTGCTTGGTTTGGCTCAGAGTTAATTTATCTGTAGCACACACAAGAGTAGTGCTTGACTGCAGTAATCCTGTTAATGAAGGTGAAAAAGCAGATGGTTATGGTGTAATTTTGTTTTTGCAGGTGTTTATTGTGGTTACCGCTCAGGGTTCTGTACATGTATTGGGCATTGCATTTCTCCAGTGAATCGCCAAACTTGTAACTTAATGTTTACAGACAGCAGAAGTGTAATGGTGGAGTAAGCAAGGTCTTCACATGGCAGAGTTTAATATAGTTATTTAATATTGGCATAAACAGATGCAACTCTGCTCTGCATCTAACCAACCCTAAACAACAAGGTAAAACACTGCTCCTAGTCATGCACTCTTGTGTGCCAAATGTGCTTGTGCCCCATTTTTTTCTGTGCCCCAACAAACCATTTGAGATATTGTGCTACATTTGTGTCAGGCAGTGTCTGAAAAGAGCATTTTTTCAGACTCAGGAGCATGCTGACTGGTTTGCAAGGTACTTTCTGCAAAGCTCCATCTCTACAGAGGCAGATTGTATTTACTGAAGGGACCTGAATCAGGCTCTCTCTCCTATTTCATAGGAGATAGAAGTGAGGCTGGGAAATGTTTAACTGGAGCAGATTTTGCTTCTGTGTACCATGACTCCATTATTAGCTAGAGAGGCAGCAGTTTAATTTTACTCTCTAAATTCCCTTAAAAAGTGTTACAGAAAGCCTACCTGAATAACAGAGGGCAACTCTTCGGTCAGGATCTTGGGTTCCTGTGGGAGTATGTGGCATTCTTTTTTCCTCTGCGCAAGTTAGTTTTTTTCATGCCTGGAGGGGGAAAAAGACAGTTCAGGGTAACTGCCATGGTTTAGATACTTCTTTGGATGCCATCTCAGGTGGCTTTTTTCAATGAAAATCCTCAAGTGCTGTCAGAAGCTTCTGTCTAGGTTGATGGTTTTCAGGTCACAGGGACATTATTTCAGCACATGTCATCTTGATGGAACTCCTCTAGCATCTCAGGAGGCATTAGGTATGGATCAACCTAGCTGCCTTTCCTCTAGAAGCACAGCAGTAGACACAAGTAACATTCCGGACTTCTATCTTAGCTCCAGGCTAATAAGGTATCACTCAAGCTCCTGTTGCTGGCCACGGAAAGCCCAGTTTCTTGCCAGATAAGGACTGTTCTCGCCATGAGAGACTGTGTCATAGTGCCAGAGCTTTGTTTCTTCCTTTCCCGAAAGGAACTTCTGAAGTGAAGTCACTTCCCGAGCGGTACCAAACTGTTTTGCTATGGGTAGTCCCACTGAACTGGGCTCAGAAATGGGTTCATTGCCCTGTTTGTGGCACAGGGTGTTCAGTTAACTTTGTACAGTGCTAGGTTAGCTCTCTTAAGATCACCCTCAGGAAATAATAGTTGGTTCTAAATGTCTGCCCCCAGAGCAGGAAATGGTGGAGACTGCTGATTTGTATCATTAAGTGCTTGCCCTAAGGCAAGGAGTGCAGCTGCTCTAGGAAATGACCATCCTCTCAGTTCTGCCCTGGCTGCTCGGTGTCAAAGCTCTCACCTAAAAGCAGGTTCTTAGCAACCCTGTCTGCAGCCTGAGTGCTGACCCCAGTGTGCCCCAGTTTGCTGTTCCTTGATGAAACAACCCACCTTCCCTGGATGTGGGATGCACTGAAATGTTAACTGAGGGGAAAGAAAGCAGGCCAGCAATCTCTGGCTTATAGCAAGCATGTTTGTATGAGGAGCAGCAGGATATATCCACTTAAATTTCCTTTCTTTAGCGACTGCACTGAGTAATTCTCTGAATGCTAATAGGTGGCTGCTCACTTGTGTTGCTGTAAAGCATTACCAACCCGAGCTGAAATTGCAAAAGGAACCCTGGGCAGAGGGAAGGAGTCAGAGAAAAATGATTTAAAACTGTCTAATGACATCCTGCATCATTAGAAGCCTGAAAATTAAATGTTTTTTTTTTCTCTCTCTCTAGTATGGGCTGGTAAATTTATAAAGTTAGTTAATAACTGATGGGTTGGTAGCTAAAGTAGTTTTGCAGACTGATAATGACATTACATTTACATGTGGTACTGCATTTAACCATACCCTATATTTGCCTGTGAGGTTTATTCAAGGATGAAAGGGCAGAAAGTGTTTCTTGCTTTTTGGCAGTTTTCTATAGTGTCTTGTCACAGCCTGTTCTTTCACCTTTTCCTCCAGGGCTATGAAAGTAAGAAGCTCTTGGCTTGAGCCAGGCTGAATTCCTGCAAGCTCTTGACTCCAGCTCATTTCATAACTGGCCTGTAAACCCAAGCTCATCATAAATGACAGTAGCTGCAGCCTGGCTGACTTTCTTCTGTGTGATATACTTCTTACAGGGCACTTTCTGAATAAAAAATGAGTTTTAGTCACACTGCGGAGAGTTGCTAGACATGATGCTTAGCCATCTTGGATCAAAGGTATTACATGAACAAACTGGAAAATTAATAAGTGCTTTCTCAAATGACAACCTTGGTGCTTTAACACAGATATTTGGGGTTTTTTTGGCTAGCTGAAAGTTGGTGAAGTTTCTCTTCCTGGGGAGGGGAGGAATTTGGACTCCCATTAAAAATTGTTTTGACTGCATTAGATTAAAAATAGCAGTTCCGTAATGGCCTTTCTTCCTTCTCTATGTAGTATCCATTATGAAAGTTGCATAGCTGCAAGTTTAATGCTTTGAGAGTCCTGACTGGCTAATCCTTGAATTTAATTTTCTTGTTTTAGAGAGAAACCAGTAACAACTGCATATTGCTTTTTCTTTTCTCCCCATATCCCTTTCTCCTGTCCTGAGGAACTCCTTTTACTAGGATTGCCTTAAGTTCCCACAGACACTGCAAAGGGTTCTTGGCATTATTTGTCACTTGAAATGAGAGCAACTTTGTTCTGTGCTTAATGGCCAAATTTCCTAATGTTCCTTCCTACCAGAAAACATCAAGGGACCCCTTGGTCCCTCTGGTTTGTCATGATGTTCAGCCAAGGAAATTCAATGTTAAAATTGTGATGGAGTGTCTGCTGCACTAACAGACTGCTTAAAGGTCAACCACACCTCAGGATTGTCTTCCCTCCAAATTTGCATGAGAAACCCACAAAAACACTTAACTCACCGCTGAATTTCACTGAAATATTTTTCTTCCCAAAATAGAAAAGCGAAGGGTTATCCACTTTTTTTTTTTCCAGTGCTTAGATAAGTACTAAGCATACTTTCCAAATCAGGAAGGAGGTGGTAGGAAGTAGCAGCAGAGCAGAGGCACACACAGGAATGTCCCTAAGCCACCAGCTGTGTGCCCAGGGTGCGAGTGCTCTGGGAGATGCTGTAATCTCTAGTGACCTCACTGCACAAGATACTGTTTTGAACTTCATGCTGTTCAAAAGCATGTTATAATGTAAATCACCAAAGTGTTGCTTCTGTAATAATTGAATGTTCCAGGTGGGAATGAGAGGCTTTGTGGAGAGGAATGGATTCTAACAGCAGCTCTTTTATGCAGCCCATAGGTAATGAATGCTTTTCAGATGAATGTGTTACTTTGAATCCCCCAGCTCATGCTAAATTTGCAAATGCCACTTCAACTTTCCAGTCTGCTGTATGGTGCTTGAATTAGAACTGTGAAAATCACTTCTGTTCAATGCTTGGAAGCTGAGTATGGATTCCCTTTCTCTTGCAGGTGCAGGAAGCATCGTTGCAATTATGATCGGCAACCTGAAAGGCACAGAGATTTTACGCCGGATTGAGAGTGGCATGAAAGTGACTATGGTTATTGAAGTGGGGAAAAAGCACGGCCCTCTGATGAATCACTACTCAATATTCTTTGTCTCAGTGTCATTTTTCATTGTCACAGCAGCAACTGTGGGCTATTTCATTTTTTATTCTGCCCGGAGATTCAGGATCACAAGGGCCCAGTCCAGGAAGCAGGTGAGTGTGTGTTGCATTGCTTGTTAGTGCTCTGAGATAGCTGTGGATCTTGAGGGTGACATACTCGTTGAGCATCAGAATCCCTAAGTTTGTTACTTCATCATGAAGGAGAGTGTGATCTTCAAAATGCTAATAGGTACATTTTTAAACACTTAAACCTTTCCACAGATGTGGGCAAAAGACATCTATCTAGGGAATGCAACTGATTACGCTTATTTTTTTTGTCTTCTGCAAGTGTCATTCCCTGAATGGTGATGCAGCAATAATGCTGAGATACTGAAAGAGACCAATGGAAGTGATAGGAAAGTGCCTGGGGACCTTGACCAGAGTTGAATGCTGGGCTCTTTCTAACCACAGAACTAAACTTGGCTGAGTTGGTGTGTGTTCTCAGTCTGTTGTCTAAATGTCATCTTATGGATGATGAACATTTACTGTATTTACTAATTGAGGCAAGAACTCAGTGAACTGAAACTGTTTGCACCTGGCCTAATCTACAGCTTCTGTCTTCTAGGCTAGGCTTCCCATAAGTGGTTTGTTTTAAGCTTGTTCTTGTGTTCAGACATCATGTTCCACCTGGAAATGATATGAGTACGATAAAGGAATAGTTGGAAAGAGCAGCATGGGAAACTATTGACTGCCTGTAAGATATAGCAATGTTCCAATGCTGAACAGACTTGGGCAGGAAGACCTGGGAACCCTAGAAGCCGGTCAGCAAGTGTCACTGAATTGAATCATAAAAGTCTTCCTTCCTTTGAGGATAGTTATAGCAGTCATGGAAGTCAAGCTCTGCTCTGAGCTTGCAGGCTTTCAACAAGCTACAAATGCTCTTAATGCCTCAGTGGTAGCAAATACTGGGAAAACAGTCTGCCTGGCTCGTACCCTCACAGACTATTTCCAGCCTGGCTCCTATGTGCACAAGGAATTTACTTTAGGTTGAAAAATAACATTGGTAAATGACATGCCATTTTCACCTAATTTCAGCTGAATTGCTAAAGATACAGACTTTAGAACAGTGGCTTGTGAAATATAAAAAACAAAGGAAGCTCCTCTATCATTTTGTATAAAGTACTGTCTTATATAAGCAAAGCTCAGACAACCCAGATTATTTTTTTAGTACTTTTCCAATGGTGGTATCTAAAAGCTGTGACCTTGCAGTGATTAGGTAAGTAAAGAAAATAAAGGTGTTGGTGAAGGTAAACTGGCAAAACAGTGTTTCTGTGGCTATTCTCTGTTAAACAGCAGGTGGGAGTTTTTTTGTATTATATGCAAAGTCTCAATTAACACTTTCAGTTGCTTGGCCCACTTAATTAAACCCCAAATATTAGTCAAACACTTATGAGCTTTCACCTTACACGTGGAACTTGCCTGTCATCATTCAGCCTTAGAAACTCCAATTACTTGGACTTTAGTCTGTTGTTCAGAGGTAGGGAACGTGTTTTTCCTCTTGAATCATGAAGATGCCTAGGGGTTATGCATCCTTCTAGGGGGTGTATTTAAAAAAAGGAAGTTAGGTGTCTTGATAGTTATAAAATATTACATATTTTCTTTTCCAGAGGAGTGCTACAGTTCTGAAAGTATCCCTTTACCAAGAAGTATTCCTTCTCAGATCCCTTCATTCCCATTTTTTTTAACATACCCTGAGGGGAGAAAAATGAGTTGTTATTGAAAAGTCTGAAGTCAGACTTGTTTGAGCCAAAAGGGACACTTAATCGCTTTGTACAGAGCGCTGCAATGAGTGAATTAGAGAAGAGTGTTACCACATCCTACTTGGCCTCTTGCTGCTTGAGATCCTTGCATACTTGGCATACTCCTGTGAAGTGATCCTCAGACCTGCGGAGCTCGGTCTGGACTGAAAAGGGCTGTGCCATGGGTGGGACAGGAGGGACTGTTTCCTGGAGGCTTTGTCCCTTCTGCCAAGGCCTCTTCATAATCAGACTGAGTAGCAACAAGACTTACCCAAGACGGAGGGATAAGCACAGGCTTAGTGGCGACCCCTGCTTGAATTGGGTAGTTTTCAGGTGTTAAAATATTGGCAATGTTTTCTTCCTTTGTCTTGAGGAATGATGTTCAGCCTTCAGTGCTTGCGGAAGCAGGCTCCTGTTTTATAGACAGGCTGTTCAGTACACTTAAGCGTCACTGTTTGTCAGCGGATTCTGTGCTTCTGGTATGACTACTTGCGTTTTCTGGAAGAAAGGTTCCCTGCAATTGGTTTGATTTCATCGAGCACTTTCTGCAGTGTTTTCTTGAAGCTAGCACGTCTGGCCCTCACTCAACTTGAGCAGGAATTGTGTATAACTTAGTATTGTAAAACGGCCACCTCCTTTTTTGAAAGCTGAGTAAATATTGAAAAGTGCTAGTCAAGCATGTTGTGTTGTAATTTAAGTGAAAGCAAAAATGTAATAACAGGTGATCTGTCTTAATTGAACTGAATTTGAGGAGCTTTTTCCTTGTGAGTCAACTAATTAAGCTGTTAACAATCTACTATATTTATTTGAATACATTTTTCGTCTGGGCTTAATGCAAGTCACCACCTCTGCAGAGTCTCCTACTACATCATAGGGTCAAGGAGGAAAAGCAAAGGAAAGTTAGTGTGATAGGTGGCTTGCTACTATTCCAGTCACCAGAGTAGTGACAAACTTAACTCTGTAATACTAGCTTTCCTTAATGCATCAAAATTGATAGTGGTATACTAAGGCTTGGTTTCTAATTTAAGTTTGAGTCTTCACTTCTGTTGATTTTATGAAAATTAGATGTTGCTGCTGAAAAAATGACCCATAAATGGCCTTGGAGCTAAACTGCTCAGCTTGCCACAATTCAAAATTCTTTCCACAACAGTATCTGTGGGAACAGTATCCTTAGCTTGCAGGAAGGAAGCAGGAGTTCCTGACCTCTGCAGAGCTTGCCATGCTACACTGTCCTCATGGAATTCATGAGGCACTAGGGAGGCAGCCTTACGGAGCTGGAGATGGGATTCGCAGTCCTGGATTAGGAAAGACTGGAGACTAAGCAATAGCAAATCTAACTTGCCCAGTTAGGTGCCTCTCTACTCAAACATGCCAGAGCTCAAAGAACTTGACCTCATAAAATACATTGACATTCCAGTCTTGAGTATCCTGGATCTCATGATAGGCTATCCCATAAAAGTTTCTGCGTGCAACCTTACTTCACCCTGCTAGAGGAGTGTTCTGATGTATTTCCTAAAATAAGTGTTAAAGGTGACTTTGCCACTGGTGTTTTTCATGAACGGCTATTAAACTTGTGCCCAGGCAAAGCTTAATATTGTTTCAGTAAATTATTAATGATGCAGCCAGTTAGGTCTTGTCTAATAGTCTCGACGAGACATTAGGTGCATAGGTTAGGTACTATATGAGGGAGTGCCCTCCTGGATAGTTTAGTTTACAGTTTATAACAAGAAGTTGTGACCTGTAGCTCTAGCTGCATAGAGAAGTGCAATATTGCTGCACTCCTGATGACACCACACGAGCTACTGAAGCCCCAAGTTGTTGTAATGAACTGAAATTTGTAGGTGGAAGTTGGACTGGAAATAGGTGTTGTCATCCTGACCAGTGTGTTTGATTATCTGTGGAACTTTACTCCTCTGTCCCACAGAACTGCTGTGTTGGGCCAGCATGTGGTAGTGCTGCAGCAGAGCTGGAGTTGCCTGACTTGCTCTGTGTTTGAGGCGGTAACTGCAGCAGGAAGGGAGAGGACTGTCATTCTTGGTGTTGGCGCAATTCTTGTGACCTTTAAACAGATGTTGCTCCTGTGTTAATTAAATGCTTTGTAGTGACAGCTGAGCAGAAGCAGTTGCCAAGCAAGCTGGGCTCCCGATGTCTGGTTGTCTGTGTCTTAGTGCAAGAGAACATCAAACAAATCGGATGAAGGAAAGTGCAATTCAACTTCCTGCTCAGCTTTTGTTAGAGCTGTCCTGTGATTCACCTGAGGCTAGTCATTTGATTTGTCACACCTTGTTTCAAGAATTTGTTTTTTTGTTTTAAAGGAGAAATAGCTTTGAGGGAAATAAGGTTCTTTTGCTTGTTCTGTTCATGTTCCTTTGAACCAATATTAAGATAAAACCGAGTTCTTCCACTTGACAGGAGTGGTCCATGCTGAGCAGTGGGCTCCTGAGCTGTTAGTGCTCTGTAGAGCAGTCATGCCAGAGGACTAATTCAGGTGTGCTGGTGGCACTCAAGCTGATTGATAAGGAAACTTGTCTTTGTCAGGATGCAGCTTGTGCCAGGAAGCTGTCATAAAACCACTAGTTAAACTTACTGATTGTCTGTCACAAAACATTTAGTCCTCTGTACCAAGTTAATTTGGAGATTTTGGTTTGTTTTGGCAATCTGACCTCCCAGTTTCTAAGAAAAACCTCTGACATTCCTGTGCTTCACAAAAAAAGCTCAGTAAAAACAAAGCATACCTTTTTTTTTGTTAGTAAATCATTTGAGTTCAACGATGTAAAACCTCATTTTCTAAATAGCAAAGTAATGTTTTTTTGAGGTAGGTTTACTGGGGTTTGCGTGGTTTCTTTTTTTCTTTTAATGTGCGTGGTTTAAGTGGGTGCCTGCTTGCATTAGGTGCTTGGGTAAATATTTTTAACCACTACTTCTGAGAAAAATGATTCTTTTTAATCGAAACGGCTTTCTTTTACAGCGGCGATTAAAAGCTGAGGCAAAGAAGGCTATCGGACAGTTGCAGTTGCGCACCCTGAAGCAAGGGGACAAGGTATAACTGGCTATTATCTCACAACGTTATAATGCACCTTTGGCACAGAATCTTAGTACTGGGGGAGCAGAATACAGAAGCCTCCTTGAACCTCTACCCTTAGCTTCTTGCTGTAGGCTTGATTTGTCCTTCAGACCAATCCCTTTTCAAAGTTTCAAGTTGGCACCTTCTTAAATCTTAGCAGCATCTCAGGTAAGCACCTGAGGCAGAAGGTGCTGCTTTTCTGGCATGGGGGCTTAAGGGCAAACTAGTATAACTAGTCAGCTTTCCAGGCTATTCTTTTTGTGCCCAAATTTGAAGGTGGTAATTTCTAAACCTCTAAAAAAA